CAACCAGAGTGAGAAGGCCAAAATAGTTTACGAATTTTTTACAAGGCCAAATGGTCGGGAAAATCCCGACCAGACAGGGCTAAATAGGTTGATAGTTCAAAGGGCCAAAAGGCCAATCGGTCGGGAACGCACGACTAGGCCATTGGGCCAAAGGGTCGGGTAATGAATGGCCAGCATACAAGCAAAAATGAATGTCATCAAAATAAACCGAGCAATAGAAGATGGATAAAAATTAATTTCATTAATTGTTAAAACGTGCCCGGTACAAAAGCGGGACCGGGCTCCCGATCGAGTTCACTTACATCAAAACAAAGAAGAAAGCAAAACCTAGCTACTTCTTCGCAGCACTGCTCGGTTCGACGACTTCATCCTCGTGGCCAAAAGGAGCCAAGCCGAGGTCAGGAATTTCTGCTGGGAGGGTCGTTAAGACCAATTGGAGATCATCGCCCTCAAGCGCATGCTCCATGTTCTTTTGCGTCCTTTCCCGCATCCTTCGTTGGCTGGACTTGAACGCCCACCGACCAAACATCCAGACCAGTTCCTCCCCGACCTTTGTCTTCCGGACCTCCCGGAGGAACTGGGTGCCCGACTCTAAATCCAGGAAAAAAAATGGGGCGAGTTCGCCCGTGTTGTTCAGTCGGGATTTCAGCTCGGCCGCCTCACCGACCGCTTGCTGGGCGACCTTCTCAGAAAGGTCCCGATCTTCTTTAGCTTTCTTCAGCTCCTCCTTGGCCTTCTTGAGCTCCGCCTGGAGGTCTTTGGCTTCCTGTAGTCGCCGATCGGCGACCTTCTTCAAAGCATCGGCCTCAATGGCCAGCAGTGCTTGGTGTTGAAGGAGCTGGGTCGCTCGGGAGATCTGCAGAACAAAATACGATCGGGATTAGCCCGAGCTCAGGCACTTGTATGAAAACAACGAAGAAAGAAGAAGGGTTCTTACCTCGGCCAGGTCGTGTCCAATCTTCTCGGCCACCTAGGTCGGGGTGAGTTGGGTCAAATCCTCCTTGACCGGCCCGCAGTTGTCAATCCGGGCGAGGATCGACGAATCGCCCTTAGTGACCCCGACCGGAGGGCTCGGGCTGCGTTGGTTTCTTCGGCGTTTCAGCGCGCTGGTCTCCTCCGTCCCTTTCTCGGACGCTTTTTCCTTGCCCTTGGGGGCAGTCACCCGAGTGACAAGGACGTCCGAAGCGTCGACCACATAGCCTTCGGCTGTGGTGACGGTTGTTGATGCGCCCATCGGTCGGGCGGTCGGGATTTGTTTCTCCCCGGCCGGCTTGATTTTGGGCTTCTTTTTCCCAAGCACAATCTTGGATATGGGGGCTTGGGGCGCTTCGTCTTCATCAAAACCTGCCATTTCTGCAAACAAATAAGAAGACAGTTAGATCGGGACTATGGGGTGATCGGGAAGTCAGGGTCGGCGATGATTGGTTAGTGTTAGACCTTCGTCAGCCGTCTTGACCGGAACGGCCGCCCTTGCGATTGTCACCCCCATCGGCTTGGGCAAATACTTCTCCGTCAGGTCGTACTGCGGCGGGGGCAATCGGGCTTCCTCGTAAAGCTCGGCCGTGCAGAAGATTCTATACTCGTAGATCTCACTCGAGATCTTGGCAACGACATCCCAGAGAGCTTGAGTCTCGACGGGCATCACTTGTTTCCTATAATGGGTGCTCCACACCCTCTCAACCGGGAGGATCCAGGGGTCATACTTGACCGAAAAAATCCTATTTTTCCACCCCCGGTTGTTCCCGGGCAGGTTGTCGATCGAGCATAAATCCACCCGAGACTGGATCATCAGGAACCCGCCTCCATACTTGGCCGGGAGAACCTTCACTTGATAAATGAAGTTAAAAAGCTCCATTGTGCAGGCCACTTCGAGCCGGGCGCAGATCTAAGGGAAACAGGCGGGGATCCTGTATGCGTTCAGGCAGATCTGGGCCAGGACGACCTGGTAGTAGCCCAGGAATGCCGTCAGGAGGGCCGGGAAGGGGAAAGCGATCGGGGCCATCAGGGAGTCAAAATGCATCCCGATCCACTTTCCCCGGTGGCGATCGATTATATTCCCGAGCTGGCGACTTGTGTCGAATTCTACACGACCGTTAAGCCTTGCGGCGATCTTGGCCGCTTCTCCTTTTGTTAGTTTGCTCATCTGCTGCTCTACGTTGTCACGGTTCAGGAATGCGAATCCGTCGGCAGCCGGTGCGGCCGGGTCCTCCTCGACCGGCTCCGGCGTATTCTCCCGATCATTCGCCCGAGGTGTAGCCTGAGGATAGTCCCCAATAATCCTGGTAGGTGTTTCCCGAACGCCACCGGTCGGGGAGCCTTGCCCGCTTGAAGAGGTTTCGCCACTGCGGCTGCTCGACCCGCTCGAGCTCGTAGACCCTTCCGAGCTTGAGGACCTTTGTTGCTCGGGAGCTCTTCGCGGTCGCTGAACGACCTCCGGCGAGGACGCTTCGATATCTATTTCTTCGCTTATCTGCTCGACCGCAGCGTCGTAATCCGCGATCGAAGCATTCTGGCTATCAATATCTGACATGGTGACTACCTAAAGGGTGGTTGGAACGTTGTTAGGGTCGGGTACGACCCGGTTGTGGTTAGTTAAGGCCTGTAGTTGGCCATCGCTAAGTAATAAAAAATGAAAGCTAAAAAGTTAAAGAAGAAGGACTTACCGAGTGGTTACAGTTGGTGAAAAGTCTTAAAGTTCTAGCTGCTCCGACCGAAGTTCTGAATGGCTCGCTCGGGATGCTCTGAATGCTCCGATCGACTCAGGAAGATTGGTAAAAGTTCAAATGAGCTTCATGAAGGCCTATTTATAGGAAAGCATTTGGGGGGGAAACAGCCCACTTGCGTGACGCGACCGCTCCAAACTCCGAGGTGACTATTGGGGTCACAGAAGCCAACAGAGGTCGACACGTGGCGCAAGGGAATGACAGCTGGCCGGACGGTTTGGAGGCGGACGGTTGGACTTCTTCATCCCGTCTCGTTTTTTCCCGGGCGGTCAAAAAGGCCCGGGTTGGGGGGCTCTTGGTAGGAAATACCCCAACCGACATGCCTTCATCTTTCTATTCTTGTTTGTGCAGGTTACAGGTCGGATTCTCTTAGAAGAACCCGGTCGGTTGTCGACCGGGAATCACCCGACCGATGCCCTTGAATCCCGATCGATGGCCCTTAGGCGAAAGAGCCGCGGAGAGACACGTGGCAGCATTACGCACTAACAGGCAGGGCTCCCGGGAAGAGGACACGTGGTTGCTACGTGGGGGACATGCCGAACGACCGGACTTGTGTCTCCGGCCCAGCGGTTATAAATACCCGCGGTTGCAACAGTGTGAGGGACTTTTGGATGATCGAAAGGCTATTGTTAGAGCATCCCGACCGCAGTCAGTCGGCCCTCAGAATAGCCAGTGTAGATTGTACTTAGGACCTTCACCTTGATCAATAAAAGAGTTTTATTTGCTTTAATTAGTCTTGTGTTATTTTATTTACCGCTTACGTGGGAATTAACACTATCCTATATATATATATATATATATATATATATATATATATATATATATATATATATATTACGGTTTGGAACCGAAATCTTATTGGTTCCGGTTAGGAACTAGAACCGGAACCGTACGGATAGTTTCGGTTACTACAGTGCCGGTTACGGTTCGAATTGAACCGTGGTCACCCCTAGGCCCATGTAATGAACACTGACAATCGAGTAACCCCTTTCTAAACAATTCAAAATCGAGACCATGGGAACAAATGGTTTCTTCTCATAATTGTGGTCGACAAATATCATCTAGTGAAGCCTTCTCTCTGGATGCATAACCACCATGAAAACCGATGTCTTAGCACTTCTGGTATCATCGTCCCCCTTGAGCACATGTCTTGGTCGCACCACGGGCTGGGGTGTGGAGTCAGGGCCAAGCAAGGGGGAAAGCTTAAAAAACATCCAATAATGGCACTCACCATCCATAAAACCACAGGCCATCGGAGGAGATGTTTGCTTTCTTGATTGAAAAGTTTAGATAGGTGAGTACCTAAATTGCTTCCAGAACTTCATGTTTCCTTGCACTATCAATCTGCAAGATTAGAAGAAATTAATAGTAATTAAGAAAATAAAAACAGAATGGAGAGTAGCACCGCGATAGCGACCCTATCGGAAAAAATGGTACTTACCATAACTTAGATTGCATCAGGGCATAGAACATTATTGATCATGACCCGACAAAAGAAGAATAAAAATAAACTTAAAAAGCATTCTACTTTGAGTAAATTCTAACATCACTCATTAAAAATGTAAACTTTAAAATGTAAGAAACTCATAGAAATCTTTGAATCAAGGTAATTCTCCAGAAAAGAGAAAATTTTCAGAAAAACTGTCAAAATTACTTTTAAAAAAAATTGCAATTTTTAGTTTCATGGAAGAAAATGTCATGGGGAAACTACAAAACAGCTAAACAGACTCGAAAGTGAAAGAGTAATTAACTGGGAGTAAAGTAATCATATGAATAATTAGCTTTTCATACTCATCTAGGTAAGCAGGCCACAGGCCACTCCATCTTCTTGGTCACTCTAGAAATTTGAGCTTAAAAGTCCAAAAACATGAATGACAAAGAAGGTGAAGCTCTTACGTGTGGGTGTATGGACGCTATTGTTGTTGCAATGAAAGAGCATGAGAGCTTTCGTGTTCCAACAGGGCATCCTCAACACTCCGGCAAATTCATTGATGCTAAATTGTTAATTGTTGACGAAGATAAAAGATGAGAGAAATAGGGTGGTAAAATAAAAAAAGACAGTTTTACCCTTATTATATAAAGGTAAAATATTAATTCCGACGAAAAGTGAACGAAAAAAGCGCCGAAAGGGTAATTTTTGCTAAAATGCAATAATCGTGGACCTAAATTATAATGTTTGAAAATGATAGATTAATCTTGATAGTACGGGACCCAAGTGAAAAAAAAAAAAAAAAAAAAAAAAAAAAAAAATCTCTCCTAATTGCACGGATAAGTTGATTCACCTAACTTAAAAACAGACGTTTCTCTTTCGTTCTCTTTCCAGTCTCCAGTTGTGAGTTTGGGCTCATCTTTCCACGCAGAGTAGACGAACAGAAGCATGGCTTCACTCTCTTCCAACAGTGACACCGATCAGGTTACTCTAATTCGTTACCATTGCACTTCCACATATTCGTTGGACTGATTGATTGCTTTAGCCCGCTTGAATTTCGCTCTAAGATGCGATTATCATTTTGATTCTGATAGGAAATTGATTTCAACAATTTCTTCTTTTGTTTCGGGAAAGAAGTACAGAGTTGTAATCTTTAAGTTCAATTGATATCCGTTTTGTTAAGGAAAAGCTGGAACTCTGTACTCTTGATTACCTATCATTTCACGAGGATGAATATCAGATATTTGAAATAGAACTGACTGTAAATCCTTTTATTGTCGTTGTATGTGTATAAATTTTTAGAATTTCTGTTCAGTTTACGCATCAGTTACCGCTTTTGGATGGTTAGGTCCTGGTAGAGGAGACCGGATGTGTGAGAACGTTCATACTAAACAGACAGAAGCAGTTGAATGCGCTTTCTTCTGCAATGGTATGTTTCAAAGGGATCAATATATGCAACAGTGCAACATTACTAATTGAGCTCCCAAAGCTGTATTGTATATTTCCAGTATTTATGATTTGGTTGCTCCCATCAGGGACTACTTTCTTTTTTATAACTAGTTTTGTGAAATTGGGAGAAAATATTACTTTTCTGATTGACTGATTAAATTGGTCAATGAGTTCAGTCAGTGTTATATTATCAATTACGAATTTAGGGAAGAAAAGATATCTGCCATCATCATATTGTTTAAGTTGGTCTTTTTGTGTTCCGAAATAGAGTCTTTAGTTTGAGTGCTCAGTAAGCATGTGGTTTAAGCTGCATTTAATTTCTAGGATTTTTGTGCAACTTCTCATTCTATTCAACCAGTTTCCTCATCCTTATGATGCATCTAAAGAATGACATTCATGCTTACACTAGCTAAACGACTAGTGCTGTGGTATTTTTAACGTGTTGTCCTTCCTTCTGTCCAGATTCTTTATTAATATACAAGATTCTCTCTTCATTTCTTTTCGTTTTACTACTATTTTACTGGTCATTTCCTAGCATGTGTCTTTCCTCATGGCTTTTTCCTGTGCATAAATTAATATCTTATCATTATTTTAATTTAAACTAATTATTATATGCTGACCTAGTTTTGTAACTATTTGCTCAAAGTTAATTGTTTAATCCAGGTATCTCGCTTATTAGAACTTTTCCTAGCCTGCGAAAAAGATTCAAATGTCAAGTTGATTGTTTTGAAGGTATGTTTTGGCTTCATATTTATTACATTTACTCTACCAGACTACCAGTGCAACTTTTTTCCACTGCATGTCTGAAGATAGTAAAATTTGGATGCTTGATGTGTTGATTAGCTATATCTTATAGCTTTATAGGTAAAGAACCTTTGATATAGGCTAGTAAAATGATTTTTGTTCATGAACCTACATCCTTTTCGTTTTTCATTTTTGTGTTATTTATTCTCGATTATATATATATATATATATATATATATATATATATATATATATATATATATATATATATATATATATTATTTTTTTTAAATTGATTTTTTTAAATAGAGCTTTAGTACATCACTAAGAGAAGCATGGAACCATGTACTTTATCTGCTCACTAATCCACTATTTGCCCACTAATCCACTTATAAGTTTATATTTCCTATTACTTTAGTGTTTTTGTTACTCATGGAGACTGGAAACCTACATCTAACATATTATTTATTAGCAGAGCAGTGGAAGAGCATTTTGTGCTGGTGGTGATGTTTCAGCTGTAGTTCATGATATTAGACAAGGTAAGTCATTTTATCATAATTTATCGCTAACTAGATTGTGAAAGGATGTTTCTATAAGCATATATCTATCCATCTATGCATATATGTATGTATGCATGTATATGTTCTTCATCAATTTGATTTGTTTGCTTCACATGTTTCTAGATATTATTTTCCTATGTTTCATCTATGTGACTCTTGAACTTCTGCATTGTTTATTGATTAAATTAGTTGGAGCCAGTGTAGGCGCTGGTCCTCTGGAAAGCTAATGACCTTCCTATTGCTTTTGTGTATCAGGTAACTGGAAATTGGGTGCAGAATATTTTAGAAAGGAGTTCACCATGAACTATGTAATTGCGGCTTATAGCAAACCCCAGGTTTACTTATGATTTATGTACTTTCTTTTACTTACCCTAAATTCCCTTCCTTTTGAAAATCATCTTACAGTTTCTTGCAATGGCATGTGAAGGTTTCCATTCTTAATGGAATTGTCTTTGGAGGGGGAGCAGGTGCTAGTATACATGGTAGATTCCGAGTTGCTACAGAGAAATCGGTATTTACCTCCTTAGCCTAATAACAAAACTGAAATACCCCTTATAGTTCTTGTGACATCTTTAAAGTATTGTTTTACACTTTTACAGTTGTGGGAATTTGAGACAAAGTGATCCTATTATTGGGAGGAGTTATTTTGATACTTGTCTACTTGATGATGGGACCTTTTACTCTATAGTTCTGATCTTGTATGCCGAAATGTATGCGTTTAATTTCTATGGACTATGGTTGAACCTCTAATGTAGTTATGCATTAGTGGAAGACTTTGGATTCTGTGAAAACCAATCAGATATGAAAAATTTATTTTAATGGATTATTTATTTTCCTGAATAATTATTTGATGTCTTTTAGAGTAGGCTATGTGTTAAACAATAAACTATCTTGTATATTTCTGTATGTTCAGTGTCTCTCACCTCATCTTACTAAGCTGAGACTATACAGTATATATAGGTACAAGGATGATTTCATAGCCACAACTAACCCAAAGAACTCTAACAGAAACCTTAGGACTCTAACAAGACTAACAAACTCCAAATCATTCTAACACTCCCCCTCAAGTTGGAGCATCCAACTTGTTACATATGTATCACATGAACCATAGGACCTAGACTCATAACTTCCAAGGCTAACGCCCACATCTTGAACCACTCGAACAACCTTCGAACCATGCTGTGCCAAACCAGTCCACAACGCACCTTGTCGCACCAACAACACTTCTACGGAGCCAACAAAAACTAGGCCAATCACCACAGCACCGCACCTGCCTCTCACTCCCCACACCCTTATCACCACTGCCTAACACCACAGTGTACCTGCCTCTCACTCCACAAACCCTTGGCGCTGCTAGACCACAGTGCACCTGTCCCTCTCACCATGCACCCTTATCAACGCTACCTAACACTACAGCGCTTCCCTGGTGCATGCACGTAAACTGATTCACTCTGAATCATTCTTCAGCCGTCGGCCTTCCCCGCGGCATATGCCAGGTCCGCCCCACTCCTGCAGCACCCCTGTTTACGCACACTGAACAAGCTGCACTTGACTCCACTCAAACTCTAGAATTGCTCCCATACCAAATCAATTTAGAGCGACAAACTATGATAAACAAAATACAAAGGTCAAGACTTATTAATACGAACACGATAAACAAAAGAAAACTACTGCCTAATTATTTCTCAGCTTTGTGGACCTCAGACCACCCAGCTTCATGGACCTCGGACCACCCAGCTTCATGGACCTCGGACCACCCAGCTTCGTGGACCTCCCCTACCATCTCTCTCGGTTGTCTCTCTTTCTCGGCTGACACCAGACTGGTGAACAAACAAATCCTCGCTGCCATCATCGGGGGTTACGAACCCAAACCCCTCACTGAACCACTCGACGCAGCCCTCTATCCTCTGCTCACTCTCAGCCATAATAGACAAAACAGACCAACCTGAAAACGCAGCAGTCCAAAAATGCAGCAGCCCAACCTGAAAACGCAGCAGCCCTTCGCAACACCGGAGTACACCACCACTGCAGACACGTTGGGTGTTCAGAGACGAGCCCAACGGTACCGGCCGCGACCGGAGAAGACGCTGGAGAACTGCCCACGCGCCGGTGCGTGAGGACTCCGGTGGCTGCTCCGCCTCTCCCGCCGGCGTCGCCTCCTCTTTCCGACCAACACCCACTACCCAGTCACCTCAATCTCGCTTTGATACCATGTTAAACAATAAACTATCTTGTATATTTGTTAAAAAATAAACTCAACTGTATATTTCTATATGTTCTGTGTGTCTCATCTCATCTTACTAAGCTGAGACTATACAGTATATATAGGTACAAGGATGATTTCATAGCCACAACTAACCCAAAGAACTCTAACAGAAACCTTAGGACTCTAACAAGACTAACAAACTCCAAATCATTCTAACACTATGATTTACAATGTCGTACTGGAAATTCATGAAGTGTCTTTTTGTTTTCTTTCATGCAGGTTTTTGCTATGCCTGAAACAGCTTTAGGACTCTTCCCGGATGTAGGTGCCTCCTACTTTTTATCAAGACTTCCTGGGTTCTTTGGTAATTCCAGTAGTATCCTTGTTCCTCTGTGTACATTTATTTCAATATCCTGAAATAGTTCTGGTTAAAGCTATTTAAGTGCAAGTATTGTTGTCATTGCCTCCTCTTACTATGGTTTATGATTATTATTATTCAGTATAAGTAGGACCACCAACATAGTAAGCCTCTTTTTCAGCCACAAATTTCAGGTCTGCTTTGTTTAACTCCATTAATATCCTCCTTGGCAGGAGAATATCTTGGGTTGACTGGTTCTAGGTTGGATGGTGCTGAAATGCTTGCATGTGGTCTTGCAACTCATTTTGTCCCTTCAGAGGTAGCCCAATAAGGCAATAATCTCAACATTTAGAACGTTGGATTCATTTCTTGTTTTCTATTTGACAAACCAAATTTTGTTAAATCTTATTCAAATGTTTTCTTAAATTGCATTTTATTACAAGAGTTTATTGTCAAGAAAGTAAATTTGTATTATGGTTTGAATAACACATGTGGCATTCGAAATAACTAGTTTACATAGCCTATCCTTGTAATTTAATATATTGTAGGGAGTTGGTTTAATCTGGAATTCTGGATATCAACATCAAAGCCCCAGATATATTGCTATTGAAATGAATAGGCTTTTAGTAATATATCCCTGTAGCTTGTGTGGCAGAATGTCCTGTTAAATTTTATTTGAATAAATATTAGCGCATTCAACTTGCCCTTAGACAATGTTCACAATTCATTATAACTCTGCTGAATTGGCCATGCCTCACTATCCTCTCCTATGAGCACCACTTATTTTGTATGCATATTTTGTCATATTATGCAGAGGTTGTTACCATTGGAAGAAGCACTACATAATATCAATTCAAGTGATCCAACAATTATTTCTGCCATTATCAGTGAGTTTTCACAAGTACCAAAATTGAAAGAAAAGAGCCCGTATAACCAGTAAGTCCATTTTCTCTCTCTGTTTATATATGGGTTTGAAGGCTGAGATTCTGTAGCCTTCTGTATTAAGTTGTTATTATACCAAGAAGTTTATAATGATCATAAGTGTATGTGAAGTATTTCCTCGGAATAATATTTTTTTGCAGTGATTTTACTGATTGATTCAATGCTTGTTCTCTCTCTTCTGTGTGCTGCAAGAATTTATTTTTGCCTTTGATTTTTCTTACTTTAACATTGAACTAGATTTGGTGTCTTATTTTCTGGAGACCTTAATGTATTAAGTATAATATGCCATGTTTAAACAATGATAATTTTTGCTGTCTATTTTCTTCTCACCTTAGAACACTATCTCTTTCAACTGTTCTTGTGACTTAGGTATGTGCTATTATTGTTCAGTCCCACTGAGTGTATAAACTTAACAAAGTTTCAGTGGTTACCCAACCTCAAAACCCAACAAAATAAATAAATAAAAGCATTATCCATAAGGTGGATAACCTTCTGTTGGAAACACATTAGTAGTGTCTTCAGAAGATCTCTCTGATTGAGCTTTTGACTAGTCGAAGTCTTGTCTTCTGCAATTGTGTATGTACAGTTTGAAGATTATTGATCGCTGTTTCTCTCGAAGAACCATTGAAGAAATCATGGTTGCACTTGTAAGTAAGCAAGAATAAGAGTAGCACTTATTATATGCTAAATGTTGCTTCCTTGGTATGTACTTCTCAGCTGGAAGCAAAGAATGATTTATGAGAATTCCATAATAACATCTGTAGGAAAGTGAAGCTGCAAATTACAAGGATGATTGGATTTCTTCTGCAATTCAATCACTGAAGAAGGCATCACCTACAAGCCTTAGAATTTCTCTAAGATCGGTATGTTACAAGCACTCTCCAATACAGGAACAGCCCTACTGATTGAAAGTCAGTTATTTAATTAATAGTTAGGCTGTTTATTGTGAAATTTGGGAGAATAATACTTGAAATTGTGAACATATATACTGTTAGTGGGGTACTAAGTTAGAAAGAAATTATCACATGCTAAGTTCTAACTAGGATATTAAGTGTGCCATGACATACCTAGCTAGGTGCGTTCCGACAATGTTGTATGGGAATAATGCTTATATTCTATTATAAAGATGTTCATATTAATTTTATAGCAACGATGTTTGGATTAAATCACAATAATTTTAAGAGTATGATTTGGCCATCTTATAACTGCTGATAAAGCCTTTAGAAAATTTTATAGCTGCAGTTTCTCTAGTAATAATCATGGCAATCAGGAAACTGTAGAGATTCCTCCCCCACCTCCTAAGGAACACCTCTGTCCTGCACACACTAGCAACTCTGATGAAATAATTCCTGGCTTTTGCTTTATTTGAATATGCTTTGTTCTCTAGAATACTGAATTTGATTGAAGAATTAATGACATGGATCAGAATCATTATGGAATTTGTGTCCACATGAAAAGGTTGATGTCACTGACATGGAACAACCAAAATAATAAGTTGAAAGTTTGATTGTAACATTATTTGTATAGAAGTTGGATGTTTAAGATGTTTAATTAGTTCAAGATTGTTGTGAATGTGATTTACTTTTGCTACTCAGATAAGGGAGGGGAGGCTGCAAGGTATCGGTACATGCCTCATCCGTGAGTTTAGAATGGTTTGCCATGTGTTGAAAGGAGAGTTTTCCAAGGATTTCGTTGAGGTAAGGAATCCTCGGCTTTTTGTATTGTTGCCTATGCAGTATGCGAACTTGAAACTAAAGCATTGATTTAAATCAGGGTTGCAGAGCTATACTCTTGGACAAGGATAGAAATCCCAAGGTTCATTACTTTCATCTACTACATAATCTCGTTACGCAGAATCCAAAACTTGAACCTTAACTTCTGCTTCTTTTATGTTTTTTGTTTAGTGGGAGCCATCCAAGTTGGAACTAGTCAGTGATGATATGGTCAGTCATTACTTCAGTAAGGTAGAAGATAAAGATTGGAAAGATCTGCAGCTGCCAGGCAGACCATGCTTGCCTTCTTATGCCATTGCAAAGCTCTAAGCAATTAATTATAATAAAATATTTTATTTTATATACATTTTGTGGTGGCATACACCAAAAGTGAATAAATACTTGTTACTGTGTGAGGAACATAAGCAGCGAACAAAATATTGAACGTTATATGTGAATGAACGTAACTCACATGTTAACGTTCATTCTGGTGCATATCAGAATGGGCAATTTGTATATCAAGCCATCAGGCTTACAAAGCTTGGTTCATCCTGTATAGGCTGTATTTTAAATTAAATGAATATGCAGTTTGATACAAATGAATAATATTCCATTTTATTCTAGATCTGTGTTCAGTTTGTCTAGTTAATAAATGAACAAGTAGTGCAAACTAAATAAACATTAGGTTTATTCTTGATAAACTTTGATACTAATGCCAGGGCTATCATCTGTTTTGTCACATAATGTGTGCACAATGGATATTGTTACAGTGCAAAAAACTTTTCAAGTCATTTGATTTGGTAATAAAACTCTTTTTATTTATTAGTTATTGTGAATTAGTTGATTCACCGTGTTTTAAAAATATATATATAATTTGGTAAAAATTTGTTGTCTGCATGATCCGATGTCCAATATATCATAAATCTTGTATCGATAGCTTATATGGTATTGTTTGTTAGGGCTTTAATTATTATCTATAGCATATATAAATTATAGGCTAATGTGGGGTTAATTGACTTAATTCAGTAAGCAATAGAATATCAATGGTGCAGTAAAGTTAATAGAATAAGAAATCCCTCTATTTTGTTTTTTTTTTTTTTTGACCATTTCCACTACACTAGTGACATAAGAATAAAGAGAAAATATTATTCATCCTTTATTGATACAGTAAAGTTAATAGAATAAGAAATCCCTCTATTTTGTTTTTTTTGTTTTTTGTTTTTTTTTTTTTGACCATTTCCACTACACTAGTGACATAAGAATAAAGAGAAAATATTATTCATCCTTTCAAAAGTGAACTTTCCGTTAGGACTGGGCATTTCGGTTCGGTTTACCCGAACCGAAGCACTTCGGTTCGATTCGGTCCCAAACCGAAGTATCGATCTGTACTTGGTTTGGGTAACCGACCGGTTCGGTTCGGTTAAAATCCGAACCGAACCGAAGAACCGATCGGTTTTTTATTTTATTTTTTTATTTTTTTATATAATAAATATATACAATATACTTAGATGTCTTAGAGCATCCACATCAAAGCATAATATGGAGTTCTTAGTACAGTAATATGCACATCAACAGATGGGAAGCAAAGATAATACCAAAAATAATTCTCCTGCAAATGTGAAGATAGGCAGGAAAAAAGAAAGTCCAACGCCTTCTAAGCACAAAGCCCACCCCCAACTAATGTAGATGCTCTTAAGTGAGGTTTGAACACTTGACCACCAAATTTGAAATCAAGAGCTTTACCCATTAAACTAAAGGCACAATTGTGTTAATATTTACATTTGTATGTTAATAAAGGTATATATTGTTTTATTAAATGTTGTAAACTTCAATTGTAATAGACAAAATTATCCCTACTACATTATTGTTAGACTAAAATTCCCTTATACCGTTATAACACCGTTATTATTTAATTTTAAAACTTTCATAATTCTATCATTATTATCATACACCTATATCTAATTATCTATGATATCTTTTTCCTATTCTTTAATTATCATTTTATTAAAATCATTATATAATTAGTTTAATTGTTGATTATATTTTAATTAAATTTCTATAAATAGTAAATCATATATGTGTGTATATATATATATATATATATATATATATATATATATATATATATATATATATAGGCACGCACACGCACTAATATATGTAACCGTTTACTAGATTAGTAATATATATATATATATATTTTTATTTATTTATTGTAAAAAAAAAGTATAAATTATATCAAAATTGTTTACATTATTAATAAACAAAATATCAATTTTGTTCATCTTTATAGTTTTCAAATACGATGATTAAAATTTACTAATTTAAAGAATTGTGAAATTTAATTTGAACTATAATTTGTAATTACTTGCATTTATCAATTTTTTAATGTTGGGCATAAATTTTCGCGCATCACTCGTACAAAATGCTAGTATTATATATACATATTATAATAATTAATAATTTTAACTCCTCAAGTCCTCATATTTCAACTCTAAGTCGTAAGTCTCAACATTTAGCATTTTAATAATTCTTATTTTTCAAATATTAACTATAGATGGATGATTCTTTATATTCTCATCAACAAAACACTTCAAGTGGCACTCCAAGTGAGCCAACTGAACAATCGGGCAGGTAAAAAAGGAAACGTTTATTTAGTGGACTTCTACCAAAACCGAACCGAAACCGAAACCGAACTCTTTTTTAAACCGAATGGTTTAATTTTTTTAAAACCAAAAAACCGAAACCGAAAAAAACTGAACCGAAACCTGAAGTGCCCAGCCCTACTTTCCGTGGACAATTCCAACCAAGTTAGTTAGATTGTCGATTTGATAACTACAATCACAATGTTACAATTTCGATTTGGTTTGAGCTGGTCAGTTATGACAGCCAAGGTTAGTTTACTTCGTTGTGGTCCTATGCCGGTTAAGGTCACAAGATAGGATTTATTCCGTGCACACATTTAGATAGTGGTTGCGGATTTTCGTCACTAAAATAAATATATATAAATAAATAAAACTGAACCTTGTGCACTAAAATTGAATCTTTAAAGTTATTAGTTCATATACTGAAATTGAGGATTATGTTAGTGGTCTACCTTACAAGAAGATAATGGTTTACTGTATAATGATTGGTTTTTATTAGGATAATTATATCAATTGAGTTGGATACTTAGCTTCCAAAATCTAGTTTGTTGAACATAACGTTGACATCCATTACACACACACGTATGTGTGTGAGAGATAATAAAACTTGTATGTTTGCAAGACAAATGTTTAAATAAATTTAAAATTAAAACCTAAACAATTAATATCAAATTATGTAAAATATTAAACAAAATGTATAGCATTATTTGGATATATAAACATTAAAATCCCCTAAATTTTAAATACAGTTATTACATTATATGCTATATCTCAGATAAAATTGTAAATCTAAGTAAATAATGTATAATTCATATGTATTGAAAATTAAAATAGCACACGGAAGAAATCAACTACTAACAATTTAATTTGAAATTTAAATTATAAATTATAAAATAATTCTTTGTATACAATATTTTTTTTCGAAAGATAAAGTTGCAATATATTAATGAATAAAAGCAACAATAGAATCACGAGGGACAAAGTCCCAGTACAGGGAAGTTGCCTAATCAAAGGCTGCCGCAGCAATAGTATGAGCATGGAAATTTAAAGCTCTTGAAATTAAACTAATAGAACTCTAATCAAAAGAGGTCATAGCCGCTCTACACTGATCAATAATAATCGCAACGTAGGACCGGGCCGACACCTGTGCGAATAACAAGCTGCTACGAAGCTCCGAACAATCCGTGAATAAGTCTACCATAACAACATTTCGATCCTTCAATCAAGATAGTACTTCCTTACAGGCTAGGGACTCCGCCATAATGGGTGAGAAGCACACAGGAAGTTGACCGTTACACGCTGCCAAAAAGCGACCGTCGTGAGCTAGAAGCACTGTTCCATAAGAAGCCGTCCCCGTAGCATGCCTGAAACCCGCATCGACAAACCACCTGGGCCGGAGTGAAGGTTGCAGCATCACGGCAGTGCATGGCACCAGTTGATGTGGCTGCTGCACTTGTCTCCAGCTCAACAACGCCGAAGATGCTCTCCTCCAAATCGCACTCGGCAGCGGCAAAGATGACTCCCACACGGACTGATTCCTGGCCCACCAAATCTGATATATAACACTGCCACAAGAAGTTCAACATGATCCTTGTGCATAAAATATTACGCATCCACATGGAAAAAGAATCTACTACAATATTTATATATGTTGGGCCGGGGATGGAAGACTTATGCCAAACAAGACTAGAGTATTTACACAAAATCAAAGCATGCATAACATTTTTATGATCAAGACCACATTTTGGACATGCTGAATCAATGTTAACTCTCTTTAAAATCAAATTCATAGTGGTAGGAAGAATATCATTAATAGCTGATAGTGTTAATTGCCACGTAATACGGTAATTAATAAATGCGAGACCAATTAAAGCAAGTAAATGTCTTTTATTGATCACAGTGAAGGCCCTAAGTACAATCTACTTGGTTGCTCTGAGTACCAACTGACTGCAGTCGGGAATCTCTAACAACAATCTATCGATCGTCCAAAAGTCCCTCACACTGTAGCTATCGCGGGTATTTATAGCCGCGGAACCGGAGACACAAATCCGGCCGTTCGGCATGCTTCCCACGTAGCCACCACGTGTCGTCGTCCCGGGTGCCCTGCCTGTCAACGCGTGGAGCCGCCACGTGTCCCTCGTCAGCTCTCTCGCCTAAGGGCTATCGCTCGGTAGTCGACACTGCCGCTCGGGCAACTCCCGGTCGGACCCCAACCGGGTTCTTCACAAGAAGCCCGACCTGTTACCTGCAAAGACAAGAAGACAAAGACAAAAGGCACACCGGTGGGGGTAAAGTTATGCCGGTCGGGATATTCCCTACCAAGAGCCCCCCAGCCCAGGCCTTTTCGACTGTCCGGGAAAAAACGGGACGGGATGAAGAAGCCCAACCGTCGGCTGCCAGACCGACCGGCCAGCTGTCATTCCTTCTCTCGCCACGTGTCGGCAGCTGCTGGCCTCTGCGACTGCAACGGTCACCTCAGAATCCGTGCGGGTCGTGTCACGCAAGTGGACGTGTTTCCCGCCTAAACGCTCTCCTATAAATAGGCCCTTGAGGCCCGCATTTGAAATTTCTCCAATCTACTACTTCGATCGGTACCCTTAGAGAGCCCCGAGCAAAGCACTTCAGTAGAGCAGTCGAGCAAAGAACTTTCAAGCTTTTCAAAGCCAAGCACCTTCAACCGGTAAGTCCTCTAGTTCTTAGCTTTTACTTATTGCTTTACATTCGTGTGTAGGGTCGGTAGATTGCAACTAACTGTCCCGGACGTCTCAAGTCCCATACTAACCCGACCGACCTTTAGGTAGATCGAAATGACAGACTCCGATAGTCAAAACGTCTCGGTCGCGGACTACGACGAGGAAGTCGAGCGCATCAGCGATGAAGAAGTGGACATCATGTCCTACTCACCCGAGGT